GTTCACTGTAACCAGTAGAAAAGACAATACAAGGGGATGGAGATTTGATGTAGTATAAGTTCAGTATGCAGTAGAAAGGTCAACAAAGCAAGTTATCGACAATATATGATTTCTTCAAATTCTGAAAGGCACTTACCTCGTCAGACACCACATTGAACAACTTCAGATCTCCAGTATATGTACCTAATATCAAATGCTGCTGTGTCGGCTGTAAAGTAAAAACATCATAGCAAATCAATCAGGATAGAAAATAGGATGTTACATAAAATTCTGGTATGGCATGAACGAACATTTTAAACTACGTTCTCAACTTCTCGTGTGAAAACAAGGAACAGAGATATTATTTCTCAGAGAATATTTACAGATAAGACTATATTTAGAGGTTAAAGGAGGGGGTTGTGGAGATGTTCACAAAAAAGGGCTCGGTCAAGGTTTTCATGGCCTGAATCAATGTTAACAGGTAAACAAGATTAAACCTGAGGAAAAAGAGAAGCCAATCATTTTTGAAATGCGAAAAAAACACTAGGATTTTTTTTTTATTTCCTTGGGTTTTTAAAGCAAATTGAAGCTTGAGCAGGCAGAATGGGCTGTTCTCTAAAGAGGGCTTATACAGTATGAAAACAATTAATAACACAGATAAATTAACGAAGTTAAAATTCGTTTACCTTAGGATGTTCATATAAGAAAATGTCATAGTTCTTGCAGTAAATCTCAACATTATACAAGTCTGGTGTTCACTTACCGCAAATGCACAACAGGTAAAGCCGAAATTATCATCACCATCTTTGAAAGTTTTAAAAGGTCGAAATCTGTTAAACAGGAAAAGTTTATCAAAATTATTATATCACATTTTCTGTTTCAAATATCCTATCATTACTGTCAAATTCTAATCCCATTGATATCCTTACTGTTTCCACTGGGACTTCTTAAAAATACAAAAATAATTAGCAAGATTAAAACATGTCAGAAAACTATATAGCAGACAGTGTATTTAAAACAAATTGATTACAAACATTTCATGAATATCAAATTATTTCAATTACAGGATTTCACCAAAAAAGTATAAATTTTATCAGCAGGACAATAAAATCACCAAGCAGTGCCTGGAAGCGTTACACGTGTGTCTCGTTTTTACAGGATACAAAACAAAGATTTAAAAACGAACATAATTTGATGGAGAAATATCAGCGTAATAAATCAATATATGTAAATGAGGTATATGTAAATGAGGTATTATGTTAATGAGGTATATGTAAATGAGGTATATATAAGGATCTTCTCAGGAAGTCTGGTAAACAGATTATCAATCATGAGCATAACTGTATGTATGTTCACTATGTTGAGTATATATTTATAGCTCTAAGTATTCAGATGTGTGGATAAGTAAGAGGAACAACAAAATATGGAAAACATACTTTAGTATGATATGAGGATGAAATGTATAGTTGTCTAAAAACATATTGAGTTCCTTACCTGCTGTAGATGAATTTATGATTTGCACTAGCACCTTCAAGACCCCCATATCTTGGTTGTATCTAAAAGTAAAAGAACTCGTTATAACATAAACAAAATGCAGTGGATGATAAAAGTGCTATTAAACAATTTTTATGATTAATTATTTTAAAAAAACCTTGAATCTTTCTTGGTCTTAGTAAAAATATCAAGAAAGTTATACCAAACATTCTGGAAACCTTGTCGGAAGTTTGATCATTGATGGCATACATCTTTACAATAAAAACATCTGTTTTCTGATCAGATGTTTGTATGTGTTAAAATGTATTTGTCACAAGCTCACAATGCCTTTTGATATGCCTCAACATGACCTCTGGACAGATTGAAAGCTTAGCCGGGACAAAAACGTGTCTGTTCATGTATACACGTGTAAGTCAGTATATGTTACCTTTCATTAATAAAATAGACTAAGTGATTGGTGAAAGTTGTTTTGGACTAAAATGTCAGTTTCTCAAACTCCAAAATTTGTTTCCCTTCTTATTCTGGCACTTATGTTTGGAATTTGATATCATTAATAGATGACTTTAACCCTGGGGAAAAAGTGTTATATTCGGTAAATATAGCATTAAGTCAGAAGGAAACCGTCTGTATCAGATATTCCGAAGTGGTACAGATTCTTCTTGGTCTAGTACAGAAAACAGTTGCCTGGATGTCCTACCTGGCTGTTGAAGAAGCGCGAGGTGAAGTTTGCCGGAGCACTCCTCTTCCCCCGCGGCTCTGGACATCGGTGTGGTCTATAAATAAATACAGTAACTCATCTTTATCCGCACTGATGAGAACTGGTAGCAGAAGGTTTGTATGGAGCTACGTTTCTGTTCAAAATTCCTGGGAAGATTTGGTTATGCATATTAACATAGAAGTTTTACACTAACTGCACTGACATGAACATAATTTTTTTGACTTTCTCGCTTTATTTCAAAGGCTACATGTGTTTCTATCTGTAGTACCTGTTTAATATATTGTGAAAGTGTAAAGCCTCATGAAGATGTAATATAAATGAAAATCAAAAGAAAAATCTGAGAAAAAAGTTGAAATTTTGGTAAAAAAAATGTATACATACTCAACCTATCAAGTAGCCAGTTCTCATGTTTCTATATCATTCAAAACAACGAAGAAACAAATTAATCACGCCTCAAGGATCAAACGACAATCAAATTCCATAACTTACTGAAACAGAGACATCTGGGGACAGGTCGCTACAGGGTTCCGACATAAAGCATGCTGTTTCCGTAAGTATTCAGTCACAATCTTGTCCAGAGTCATCTCAAACTCCCCGCCTGTTTTGCCCAAAGCGCCTCTGTTTCGTAGCGCTGGACTTCCGAGGCCACCCTCTTTTTCCCGGTTAAATCGGCATCGAGTGGGCTGCATCTACAAATCCAATCACAATATTTACAGTGCCAAGACTGTATGAACAATCTTTTTTATGAATAGAAAAAAAATTCCAACTTATACAAGGAGGAGTTGTGGCAAATGAATCAGAAAATTTAATCGAAATTCAGGGTAAATAAGACACTTTATAATTGATGGTATACCTTTTCTTTGGTTGTGTCTTATCACCCCTCCCATATTGTTGATTTTGAATCAACCTAAACCCAAATTTTTCAACCATCTCCTAAATCATTTTTACATTCTAGTGACATTGGTATGTTTTGTTATACACATATCCAACATCTAAATAAAGCATGTGTGAAGTAGCCAATGTAGGGCTGAATTACTATTATACCATCCGTCAGATGGAAATTGAACCTTACCCGTATCACACAAAATATTTCCAAGCTTTTTTGTTTTTGATGACCTCGACAGGTTAAGGCTGATTATTTGAAGTAACAGAATAATTGTAGGAACAGTAGTGTAGCTAGATAAACATATGATAACCAATCGTAACAAACCATCAGGACCTTAGAAGTTAGATGTTGTAAGAATATTTAACCCCTAAACAATTAATTCACTAGTAAGTTTGTTTTGCAGGTGTCCACACCTACAACTGTCTAGGGTTGTTCATCGATTACATCACTCCTTGTATTTCATGTCAAATTTGCAAATCAACCCAATACCCACCTATACCCAAATCAACCCAATACCCACCTATTACCGAATCAAACTAATGCCCACCTATACCCAAATCAATCCAATACCCACCTATACCCAAATCAACCCAATATCCATTTATACCCAAATCAACCCAATACCCACCTATACCCGAATCAAACCAATACCCACCTATACCCAAATCAAAACAATACCCACCTATACCCAAATCAACCCAATACCCACCTATTACCGAATCAAACTAATGCCCACCTATACCCAAATCAATCCAATCCCCCCCTATACCCAAATCAACCCAATACCCACCTATTACCGAATCAAACTAATGCCCCCCTATCCCCAAATCAACCCAATACCCACCTATAACCGAATCAAACTAATGCCCACCTATACCCAAATCAATCCAATCCCCACCTATACCCAAATCAACCCAATACCCACCTATTCCCGAATCAAACTAATGCCCACCTATACCCAAATCAATCCAATCCCCCCCTATACCCAAATCAACCCAATACCCACCTATTACCGAATCAAACTAATGCCCCCCTATCCCCAAATCAACCCAATACCCACCTATACCCAAATCAACCCAATCCCCACCTATACCCAAATCATCCCAATCCCCCCCTATACCCAAATCAAACCAATACCCACCTATAACCAAATCAAACCAATACCCACCTATACCTAAATCAAATCAATACCCACCTATACCCAAATCAAACCAATACCCACCTATACCCAAATCAACCCAATATCCATTTATACCCAAATCATCCCAATACCCACCTGTACCCAAACCAACCCAATACCCACCTATACCTAAATCATCCCAATATCCACCTATACCCAAATCAAACCAATACCCACCTATACCTAAATCATCCCAATACCCACCTATACCCAAATCAACCCAATATCCACCTATACCCAAATCAACCCAATACCCACCTAAACCCAAATCAAACCAATACCCACCTAAACCCAAGTCAACCCAATACCCACCTATACCCAAATCAAACCAATACCCACCTATACCCAAATCAAACCAATACCCACCTATACCCAAATCAAACCAATACCCACCTATACCCAAATCAACCCAATACCCACCTATACCCAAATCAAACCAATACCCACCTATACCCAAATCAACCCAATACCCACCTATATCCAAATCAACCCAATACCCACCTATACCCAAATCAATCAAACTGTTCTATCTAAATTTGGACTTGACATCACCACGATCTTATAGAACTCAAAAAAAGTAGCAGTGATATTTGGTGAGAGGTGTTTCCTACCTTGCTGTGAGTTATGTTGGAGGGGGAAGGATGGGCTGGCTTCCCAATGGTAAAGCGTATGTGTCCCGAGCTGCCTGCTGCACTGGTTCCAGGAGTGGCACCATTCTCCATCTGACTGTGTGATGTGTTGACCATGATTGGCTGGTTTACATGACTGCTGGAAGCTGATTGGCTGCTTGGCAGCGGACAGATTTGACGACCCTATAAAGATTGACATTTAGCAATCAATCCAACTAAAACACTTCCCAAAGTTGAATTTATTTTTGCCTGGTCTGATTTCATATAACTAGTAACCTATGTTAATACCTCTGGACAGAAGGATTGCGTGTCAGAAAGAGACTTACCAGTTTTGGTGTGTGGTGAGGTGTGGAGAAGAAATGCGGGCTGGTTGGATGGAGTTGAGGAATCGTCGAACACAGAGGTAGGGAAGCCTCTTTCTGTAGAGCAGACGCTGCTTCATATAAACCTGAAACAACAGCAAAGTATATCATTGTATGACAAGGATCATCACTGTCTGACAAAGTATACCCTGTATGACAAAGGATATCACTGTATGACAAAGTATATCACTGTATGACGAAGTATATCATTGTGTGACAAAGTATATCACTGTATGACAAAGGATATCACTGTATGACAAAGTATATCATTGTGTGACAAAGTATATTACTGTATGACAAAGTATATCACTGTATGACAAAGGATATCACTGTATGACAGTATATCATTGTGTGACAAAGGATATCACTGTATGACAAAGGATATCACTGTATGACAAAGTATATCACTGTATGACGAAGTATATCATTGTATGATAANCCAATACCCACCTATACCCAAATCAACCCAATACCCACCTATACCCAAATCAAACCAATACCCACCTATACCCAAATCAACCCAATACCCACCTATATCCAAATCAACCCAATACCCACCTATACCCAAATCAATCAAACTGTTCTATCTAAATTTGGACTTGACATCACCACGATCTTATAGAACTCAAAAAAAGTAGCAGTGATATTTGGTGAGAGGTGTTTCCTACCTTGCTGTGAGTTATGTTGGAGGGGGAAGGATGGGCTGGCTTCCCAATGGTAAAGCGTATGTGTCCCGAGCTGCCTGCTGCACTGGTTCCAGGAGTGGCACCATTCTCCATCTGACTGTGTGATGTGTTGACCATGATTGGCTGGTTTACATGACTGCTGGAAGCTGATTGGCTGCTTGGCAGCGGACAGATTTGACGACCCTATAAAGATTGACATTTAGCAATCAATCCAACTAAAACACTTCCCAAAGTTGAATTTATTTTTGCCTGGTCTGATTTCATATAACTAGTAACCTATGTTAATACCTCTGGACAGAAGGATTGCGTGTCAGAAAGAGACTTACCAGTTTTGGTGTGTGGTGAGGTGTGGAGAAGAAATGCGGGCTGGTTGGATGGAGTTGAGGAATCGTCGAACACAGAGGTAGGGAAGCCTCTTTCTGTAGAGCAGACGCTGCTTCATATAAACCTGAAACAACAGCAAAGTATATCATTGTATGACAAGGATCATCACTGTCTGACAAAGTATACCCTGTATGACAAAGGATATCACTGTATGACAAAGTATATCACTGTATGACGAAGTATATCATTGTGTGACAAAGTATATCACTGTATGACAAAGGATATCACTGTATGACAAAGTATATCATTGTGTGACAAAGTATATTACTGTATGACAAAGTATATCACTGTATGACAAAGGATATCACTGTATGACAGTATATCATTGTGTGACAAAGGATATCACTGTATGACAAAGTATATCACTGTATGACAAAGTATATCACTGTATGACGAAGTATATCATTGTATGATAAAGTATATCACTGTATGACAAAGGATATCACTGTGCGACAAAGAATATCACTGTATGACAAAGGATATCACTGTATGACAAAGGATATCACTGTATGACAAAGTATATCATTGTATGACAAAGTATATCACTGTATGACGAAGTATATCATTGTATGATAAAGTATATCACTGTATGACAAAGGATATCACTATGCGACAAAGAATATCACTGTATGACAAAGGATATCACTGGATGACAAAGGATATCACTGTATGACAAAGTATATCATTGTATGATAAAGTTTATCACTGTATGACAAAGTATATCACTGTGCGACAAAGAATATCACTGTATGACAAAGGATATCACTGTATGACAAAGAATATCACTGTATGACAAAGAATATCACTGTATGACAAAGGAAATCACTGTATGACAAAGTATATCACTGTATGACAAAGTATATCACTGTATGACAAAGTATATCACTGTATGACAAAGGATATCACTGTATGACAAAGAATTTCATTGTATGACAAAAAATATCACTGTATGACAAAGTATATCACCGTGTGACAAAGTATATCACTGTATGACAAAGGATATCACTGTATGACAAAGTATATCACTGTACGACAAAGGATATCACTGTATGACAAAGGATATCACTGTATGACAAAAGATATCACTGTATGACAAAGTATATCACTGTATGACAAAGGATATCACTGTATGACAAAGTATATCACTGTATGACAAAGGATATCACTGTATGACAAAGGATATCACTGTATGACAAAGTATATCACTGTGCGACAAAGTATATCACTGTATGACAAAGGATATCACTGTATGACAAAGTATATCACTGTATGACAAAGTATATCACTGTATGACAAAGTATATCACTGTAGGATAAAACTCAATTACAATACAAATATTTTAAAGACACATACCATCAATAATGAATGTCTAGATGGTTTTTTATCCCTTTATTAACAAAAAAAAAAAGTTTTTACAGAGACTTGTTTTCTATTTAGAAATAAGTGATGGCTTATTTTTAAGCCTTATTTAAGCCTTATAGGAGTACTATTTGTTCTAAGTTAAGCTGGTACAAATAGCTCCTGATCAGCATATTTTCCAGACAAAATCAAACATAAGAAGTTTCAAGAAAAACAGTTAAGAAATACAGCCACTATGACAAGGTGTGTGATGGTGAATTGTTAATTACGTCCAAGGAAAAAATGTCTTCATGAAATACAGCTACCGATGAAAACAAATGGAGTATGATATGTCCTTACGGGCAGAATGTTACCATGGAACTTTGTGTGAGGGAAAAGTAATGTCACAAGATAATCATCCATTGATACATTGTTGAATACTGTAAGCCAAGGGATGCTTCACACCAAATACAAGTTAAAATCATTTAGAGCACGTCTTCAACAACACTAGTTTCAGCACTGTTTACAACAAGCCCAGCATACCTTGGGACAGAAGGTGGCTATACATTAGCTGGAGCAGCTCTCTCTCCTGGAAGATGATCTTCGTCTGGGCAACAATATCTGCCTGTAAACAAAATTGATCTAGATTGACACTGGACTTTACTTATGACCTGTTTAACATTCGGTGTTATAACACAATCACATCAATTCTGGCTACGTATATACATGTGATCACCTATGATGACTTTACAGGTAACCTTGATAGGATGACATTACAGGTAACCTTGATAGGATGACATTACAGGTAACCTTGATATGATGACATTACAGGTAACCTTGATATGATGACATTACAGGTAACCTTGATAGTTTGACATTACAGGTAATTACCTTGATATGATGACATTACAGGTAACCTTGATATGATGACATTACAGGTAATTACCTTGATATGTCAGTGGAATGCAGAACTATATTTACCTTCTACTTTATTTGGTAACAAAAAGTGCAATTTACATAGGTAAACCATAAAGACAAAAGATTTACAAACTCATCCCATTCCATCTGACTTTTCTGGTCATGAAGATATTTTTCTATAAAAACCATTTAATTGGAATGGGTTTAAACATTCCTTTTTGTTACCTAATAAAAGCTTGAAGAAATATTGTAATGGTTTCACAATGATTTGTCTAGCATGTTTATGACAACTATGACTTTACAGTAGGCATACAACTTTAATAATGGTTTTAGGTTTAAGTTGTACTTATATTTTGAATGCTATAATGTGAGCACACAGAGTATATTTTAATTAGCAGACTGAGTTTATTTAATTATTATTAGTAAATTGCTTAATACTGTTTTTAAGCATATGAAATAATTTGGACAATTGTCAAGAATCTTATTTTTCCTTTGACAATTCAGTTTATTCAAATGCTCCTTCGAATTTGAAATTCAAATACTGTTTTTCTCAATTCCAACACATTGACACTGCAGCTCCATCACAGACTACCTACCCTCCTGATGTCGTCGAGGGAGGCATCGAAGTTGGCGTTGGAGTGTTTTCCAGACACACGCTCCAACAGGTTGTTAGCGTATTTACAGAACTTGACAAACTCCTGGCGCATATCTTGTAACACAGGTTCCTTCATCAACACTGAAACAGTAAACAGTTATCAACATGGTCAGCCAGGGCTGGCTCAGATGTGCAGACTTTCAGGTCTAAATATTGGACAAGTGGAATAACAATATTACTGTAGACCAGACAAATATTTATTTTTGATAAACCAAGTGATCTGTGATTTATACACTGTATTCTAGTTTCCACCACACCCACCCCCCACCCCTTTTGGCGATATATTATAACGTTTTTGTCAGAGTTGCAATGTTTTAAAGGAAATATTGTTTCAATTTACTAACAGAAAGGAATGATATTTGGTTTTAATCACAAGGAATTTGATAGTTTTATGACAGTTTAGTACGGACTGACAGCCAGAGGCATGTAACTTACTTTGAAGCTGGCCATTATTGAACAATGGCAATTTACCGATGATCTGCCGGACAGTCTCTGACCGAGACAAACCTACCAAAGCCTGAAACAAACCGGAATCAATAAATCAATAACGATTGTTGTTCTTATTTTTTGTATACATTTAATAAACATTTCATGATTAATGCTCCTCAAAATTAATATCTTTCTACCATGAATTCTTGAAGATCAACTAGTCTATCAGTAATGATTTGTTAAACAGTTTATTGATTAGTTTAATTTATTGCTTGGTTAAATTAATGATTCTTTCTAGATCATCACCATGAAAAAGATCGTTCATGCAGAAACTACGTATGAATTTATACAATAGCGTGAAGACAATGCTACTTGAATACTAACTTTACATGCCAGTGCGCGGAGGCAGTCAGCATCTGTGATTGGTGTTTTGATGGTCAGTAACTTTAATAGTACCTGTAAATAATAAATCCAAACATGCATATAATATATTTATAATTTAGATAACATTTCATATTTGAAACTTGTGACTTTTAAATTAGGTTAAAGACATTTACATGAAAAAAATGGCACTCCACTGAAGATACCTAACTTCTTAACATTTTAACCTTGGTCTGTCATTAGATGCTGTCCTAGGAAAAAGTTGACCGACAATGGATGCCACATCTTACCATACAGCTCATGGGCACTTACTTCTAGGACCAAAGCGTGCTAAAATGTTTGTTATTTTCCAGATGTATCCCAAAACCAGCATTTCAAACTTTTCATTCATGCTTATTGATGTAATCAGGCTTTGAACAAATTTTAGGTTTGCAGAACCCTTTATATATGAAGTCAGAGGTTTTGAACCTTGTGTAAATGTTTCTATCAAGCCTGTCCATTAGGCAATGGTATAGCCATTGTCTCAAGAGTTCACTCCAATACAATACTTACCATAATGCCATTGTTGACTCGCACTCCATTCCACATGCGACTAAGGACATCTTCTCCCATCTTCAGATTGATTTTTTTCTTGGCACCCGTACCCATATATCGCCCCACGCCTCCACCCAACTGTAAATAAAAGGTGATAAGAAATGGAAATCTTGATAAGGACAAACATCTGTAGATACTTTATTTAAAACCTTATTTAACAAATTTAACAACATTTCCCCTACAAATGTATGAAGCCTGATGTACAAAGTTATTGTTTAGAAAAATAACATATAGCTTTTGTCATTAGTGACATTTGATGAAGGGGTTACGCTCACTTTCACCCTTTGCACCCCTGGATTATGTCATAGCAAAATTGAAGGCACATGGCTAGCTATTTGGTTGGTCTCAGGTAAAAAAACAACTGACCAATCGCTAGGCTGATACCTGTCTTTTAAACATTACAGAGGAGCAACAACCAACTCATAACCGGTCAATTTTACTGTGATGCGACTGACAGATTCCTTTGATGTACATTTTGATGGGCAGAGAGAGAAAGCGAGTGTAACCTGTGGAGTATCAAGGATTTATATTAACATATAGCTTACTTGCATGTGCATACATATCATGTACATACCCTATCACAGGCTCACACGCACAGTTAATATTGAGGTAGGACACCGACAACTTTATATACACTATCCTCTCTGCAGGCTCACACAAACAAAGTTGGTGATGATGGCAGACTTCTGCACTTCTATATACACTTACCCTCTCCACAGGCCCACACACACAGTTGATGATGACGTTGAGGGCAGACTTTTGTACATCTGGATCTGACAGCACCTCTCCCTCAGCAAGCCCTATCAACACACTGTAACACACAACATCTGTCAGGACAAGCAGCACAATATCACAACTCATACAAATGCTGTCACGTACACAACATCTGTCAGGACAAGCTGCACAATATCACAACTCATACAAATCCTCTCACGTACACAACATCTGTCAGGACAAGCAGCACAAAATCACAACTGATACAAATCCTGTCACGTACACAACATCTTTCAGGACAAGCAGCACAATATCACAACGCATTCAAATCCTGTCACGTACACAACATCTGTCAGCACAAGCAGCCCAGTATCACAACGCATACAAATACTGTCACGTTCACAACAGTCTGTCAGGACAAGCAGCACAATACCACAACGCATACAAATCCTGTCACGTACACAACAGTCTGTTAGAGAGCGTATACATTTAGAGTATCATCTGTCAGAACAAGCAGCACAATATCACAACACATACAAATCCTGTCACGTACACAACATGTGTCAGGACAAGCAGCACAATATCACAACGCATTCAAATACTGTCACGTACACAACCATTTGTCAGAACAAGCAGCACAATATCACAACACATACAAATCCTGTCACGTACACAACAGTCTGTCAGGACAAGCAGCAAAATATCACAACCCATACAAATCCTGTCACATACACAACATCCGTCAGAACAAGCAGCACAATATCACAACACATACAAATCCTGTCACGTACACAACAGTCTGTCAGGACAAGCAGCAAAATATCACAACTCATACAAATACTGTCACGTCCACAACATCTGTCAGGACAAGCAGCACAAAATCACAACTGATACAAATCCTGTCACGTACACAACATCTGTCAGGACAAGCTGCACAATATCACAACTCATACAAATCCTGCCACGTACACAACCTCTGTCAGGACAAGCAGCACAATATCACAACGCATTCAAATCCTGTCACGTACACAACATCTGTCAGCACAAGCAGCCCAGTATCACAACGCATACAAATACTGTCACGGGGGCAACCATCTGTCAGAACAAGCAGCACAATATCACAACGCAGACAAATCCTGTCACGTACACAACATCTTTCAGGACAAGCAGCACAATATCACAACGCATTCAAATCCTGTCACGTACACAACATCTGTCGAACAAGCAGCACAATATCACAACGCAGACAAATCCTGTCACGTACACAACATCTTTCAGGACAAGCAGCACAATATCACAACGCATTCAAATACTGTCACGTACACAACCATTTGTCAGAACAAGCAGCACAATATCACAACACATACAAATCCTGTCACGTACACAACATGTGTCAGGACAAGCAGCACAATATCACAACCCATACAAATCCTGTCACGTACACAACATGTGTCAGGACAAGCAGCACAATATCACAACGCATTCAAATCCTGTCACGTACACAACATCTGTCGAACAAGCAGCACAATATCACAACGCATACAAATCCTGTCATGTACACAACAGTCTGTCAGGACAAGCAGCAAAATATCACAACGCATACAAATCCTGTCATGTACACAACAGTCTGTCAGGACAAGCAGCATAATATCACAACCCATACAAATCCTGTCACATACACAACATCCGTCAGAACAAGCAGCACAATATCACAACTCATAAAAATCCTGTCACGTACACAACATCTGTTAGGACAAGCAGCACAATATCACAGCTCATACAAATACTGTCACGTACACAATATCTGTCAGGACGAGCAGCACAATATCACAACTCATACAAATGCTGTCACGTACACAACATCTGTCAGGACAAGCAGCACAATATCACAGCTCATACAAATCCTGTCACGTACACAACAGTCTGTTAGAGAGCGTATACATTTAGAGTATGAAAAGTGGATGGCTTGCCTGTACACTCAACTCTCTTTTTGGAAAAAAATTGTCTTCACTACTAACTGATGCATTAGGAGAATTTAGACACTTTTTATTATCTGGTCCAATTTGAAACCAAACAAACTATCTATTTTCATCCCAATATTTTTCCTAATGCCCGCTCCCCACCTAATGCTTACATTTGAATATGATCTCAATACTCCTATATTATCAATTTTATGCACTTCTTTGTGCTCCCTCCTATATTCTGATCTAGAATAGGCCTTAACCAGACAATAGTTTAAGCAGATTTTATTGCATATTACAACACAAGAATTCCACGGAAGTGGATGTGTCGCCTGCACAGGAAGCTAGGAGATTACGAAGAAATAGATACACTTTTCATTTCAAGAAATAATGTTAAAAGTAAGCAATAATCATAGATTATGTTTTTGGATGGCATCATTTTGTTATATAATCTGTTATTCTGGGAAGAATTCTCTGAGTTTTAAGGAACTTGCTATGGATACTCATTGTCTCAATTCCAAGTTTAATTTGTATGATTTGTCGGATGGTTTCCCATAAATAAATAATCAGCTAGTGTTGTCAATAACATTTGGAGTAAGGCATTTCAGAGGTATACACGGTGGGTCAAGTGGTAGATCGAAGCCATCCAGTATACAGTTTTAGTGAAGTTTCTATTTATAGTAACAGTGACCTTGACCTTTGACCTTCGGACCTGAAAAGCAATCCCAAGCAAGCACTTTTGGTAAGGAAGCACTGCATGAAGTTTGAGTTTGATCGGCTTTTCGCAGGCGACACAAAAAGGATTAGGCGCAAGTTATCACAACTTATTTATGTCCAACATCATTTATCATAGTTACAGGGCTACCAGTACCTTCTCACATCGCATATAATACATCATTCAACAGGTTAGGAATTAGTGGTATACACAACAGATGAACAGACCTGATGGCTGGCGTTTGATGGTTTTCTGGCATTGGTACAGAGTCTAGCAGGGCAAGCTGGGACTTTGGGGTTACAGTACAAACATGGATCACGTCCAGGGCGTTCCTGATCATCTCCGGCCTGTCAAACAACCAAAGCCTTACTGTACAACATCAGCTATATACACGATCTATAGGTGTTAATGGACATGCCTCTACCATTAGTTGTCACATTAACAATGCTAAGACTTTCCCATAACCATTTGTTTTGAGTTCCTGCCATGAAGTGTCCCTGGAATTTCTCTTGATAGTCTCAAAAAAAATGAAAATAAATTCAATCTATTATTTCTTACTTTTTTTCTTCAGAAATCATGAATTTCATAATAACAAATCAAAGTACTGAAAGTACTGAAAGCTAAGGCAAAAGTTATATATATATATTATTTTTGGAATGGAGAACAAAATAAAGACGAAGTTCCCATCATATTGTACAGAAGGATTTACTGTTAATTTGTTATGAATCATAGTTTTATGTAAAAGTGTACCACTGTGAAGTTATTCTTCTTGTGTGTACAGTATATCTTTATAGGTTTGTCAGAAGAAGGGTACCAAGTTTCCTCTAGAATTTATCATTTTAAACCTTTGGATAATTAATTTGCATAGGAATTAGGAATTGCTTCCTTTTGTCCATACAATGTATTTCATAGACCATTAAAAACTGAAACTGGCATTTACCCCTTTGACCAATACCTGATTATTTTAAACCATTAAATAGATTATGCACAGATTGTGAACATCTTTGAACTTTGCCTTTGTTGTTGAATAAGATATCAACCCTTGCCTTATCTGACAAAGTTACTTGGCATAAAACCATTGACCAATCAGAGTACAGTATGCTAATTAATTAGGCATGGATTTCACTCAACTTTGAACTTATCGTCTAAGTTTGTATATTGATCAATATATATTCAAGCAAGTTATCTTGT